TTCGTAAACCAGAGTTGCTAATGCTTTTCTTGTTGTGTATAAGCAAGGCCTAATAGTGCAGTGTTGGTTTAGTTGGCTTGACATTTGGGGTGTATGTGCAGTCTTTAAATAGTCTTGTGCTATGTTAAAGTTTCAGAATCCATTTTAAAATATCAAAATGGACAACTGTGTGGCCATTAGGTGGTCATTGATCTTTGCTCTTGCCCTCTCAGGCTGTTGAGCTTATTTTTTGTTTAAGTTGGACTCCCAAACTCTGGGTATGTATGAGGTGTGTGCTTTGAGCAAAGTGTTTGTTTTTTTGCTGTGTTGTTGTTTTTTCTCTTTAAATATCATGCTAAAATGTAACAGTTAAAGCACGTGCTTGGGTGCAGTAGTGATATTAACTATTATTTGTTGGCTCTTAAAAAAAAAAAGCATCCATAGTTACAAGTATAATTTGTAATGGCTGGCTGGGTTTTTCTTTCCAGGGGCTTGGCAGCCCTACTATTATTAAAGTGCTAAGTGCCCCTTTACAGCAAAAGTAGGTGCTAATGAAAAGAAAGTACACAAGTGCTTAATTATATTAGTTCTTTGGGCATAGGCAGAGTGTAATGGTTTGTGGGAAAGACCCTGGAAGACTGGGCAAAGAGACGCTCCCAAGGGAATGGTCAGTTAAAAGACAACATAGTTTTTTTCCTCTTCTTGGCAGTGTATCATTATTTTTGTTTGGTTTCGCTTTTTCTTTTTTTGTTATTACTTAAAAAGCAATAAAAATTTATTAAAAAATTAAAAATTTACTTTTAGTAGTCAACTGTGATACATACAGATTACATATTATCTAGATTAATTTTCACAGCTGAGCTCATGATAAATTCAGCAGGCACTCCTATTAGACATTTAGCTTTTCTATGCATACTTAATGAAAATGTTAGTGCAGGTCTGAAGTCCAAGAAACATTATTGCTATGTATATTTAAATTTTCTGCCACACCACTTCTTCTCATTCATCGTCTTGCATTATAGTGCTGCTTGATAGCCAGTACAGGATATTCCATGGTAAGAGGTCCAAATGTTTACTAAACTCAACAATATCCTATGAGCAAACTTAATACTGCTCCATAACCAGGCAGGTGATTTGTCTATCCTAAATAATTCAACATGTTTCAACGTTTTTCCTGTGGTTCATGATTGTTCCTCAGGAATAGCCTGTCAAGCTGAAATATTATTCATCTCCTTCCAGTTTAACAACAAGACAAGAGAAACACAAGGTTTAAAAAAGAAAATGAAGGGATAAGGGATGCTTTCAATTGATTTTCTGTCTGGCTCCTTTGGAGATGCAATCCCAGCGCATCTTTTAGGCATCAGGTTGGGAAAGGCTGGTCTGTGTGTATAGCACTCACATGGCATTTGCTGCTTCTCCTCCAAGGATTCAGCCTACAGTTTCAAGCTGAGTGAATGCCAAGTATTTGCTAATCACACTTTGGTTTCTGAAGTTATCCCTACAGCATCATTTCCTTTGCTCATTGCCTCTGACATGCTGAGATTATATTTGAGTTACACTCACTAGAACTGATTGCAAAAAAGTTTAACACTGAAATAAGGCCAGCAAAGTTTCTTTTAAGTCATATGGGAGATTTCAGGAAAATCGTTGCAAACAATTAGTATGGCATAAGCAAAGGCAATAACATTAGCTGCTTTTGGTACTTTCTGTTTCACAATTTTTGACGTACTTTATGGGAGTTTTTAAAATCTAAAGTAATCTAACATTAGACTTTGATTGGCACCATACTTCACCAAAGCATTCTTGTCATCTCTAGCTCTCTCCCACGTCCAAAACGTGGGAAGGATAGATGCTCTGTAGCATATTTGTGCCACCTAAGAATTCATGCCTGTACCAAGTGTTTTT